ATATGCCTGAAGTTCGCGTGACACGCGACAGGACATAAATATGAAAATAAGATAAATCGAAAAAATGTGAAAATTAGAGGGCATTTCGTGATTTTTATCTATCGAGGAAACTTTATTGTTTTATGTTTCTAATTAATGTTTATGCTTGAATATATCGTGTAGTTACTCATACAATATTTTATTTTTAGCTTTAAAGTGATATACCCCTCTAAAATCAAATCAAAGATTAGGATTTTCTTCTCTGCTCCCTCTTAAATATGCTTCAATAGGTTATGTAGGGTAAACCGCTAGTATGGCTCAATTGCACAAATCGATTAATTCAATTAATTAGTCGATTTGTAGTTGGTATTACAATTGGCCGACACTAAACCGTCTATGGTCGGGTCAGTGACTTGTTTGTTTACATTTTGTTGAAAATGGGTTAAAATGAAGTATACAAACGGCCCAAAATCATGTCATGTGATTATTCTACACAGTAGAGGTATAGCGCTCGGTTTCTTAAGCACATTTCCACTACATCGGGAAGCATGCTTTACATTTTTACAATTGTGAGATCATGTACTCGTAATCTATTACGTCTCCGTATATTATCTCCATTTGATGGAGTGCGGACGCTTCGGGCTTCGCCCTCCTCGGACTTCGGCCTCCGGACTCGGCACTTATGGCTTTGTTAAAAAAAAATTGAAATAGCTCTTTAATGGCGGCAATATTTAAAAATTGCAAAAATATATTTTGACCACTAATTATTATCACACAATCTTCGAAATCTTTTCGTGTCAATTTTCAATCCGAGCAAAGCAATTTTTTTCAATTGCCATTTACATAAAAAAATACGGCTATATCGAAAAACGGCAGAAACAAAATTTTTACCCAAATTGTGATTGAAGTCATACCATTTTCAATCGAATTAGAAGAAATTTTTATCTACCGCCAAAAAAGTTTGTATGGCAGCCCTATTGAAAAATGGCGAAAAATCAATTTTGACCGCTAATTATTATTAAACACCCATAGAGACCCCGCCATGTCCACTTTCAATAGAATTAGAGCAAATTTTTATCTGGCGCTAAAAAAGTTTGTATGGCAGCCATATAGAAAAAAAAGTGAAAAATAAATTTCGACCGCAAATTATTATCAAACACTTATAGAGATTCCCAAATATCGATTTTCAGTTGAATTAGAGCTAACTTTTATTAGTTGTTGAATGGCGGCCATATTAAAAAATGGCGTAAAACCATTTTTGATCAACCTACCAACGTTGCTAGTCTTCTCATCTGGTTTAAACTTTGGTATTACTTCGGCTTCAGTAGGAGTAATTCGTCGCCTCTTGACGGGTAGGTCGCCACGTGGTTTTTCAAGAAAAAAATTTTCATTTTCTTCAGGAGGCGCACAGAACCGCTTATGATTCTTTCTTTTTCGCTGGCCAAGCCCCTCAATATATGGGCCAGACATTTTTTTGGTCCAGATACCACTTCTGAAGTATTGTTGGAGTGGCGAAAATTAAGAGTCGGACGGGCAGCGTAACGGCTTTTATTCAAATAAGCGCAGACATTGAAAAATATTCCTGCACTAAGACAGAGCACCTCTTATACGAAGGACACTCAATAAGTTTTGAGATGCTCGAAATTTAAAAATGGAACGCACCCGTATTATATGTTTTTAAAAAGCAAATTTATTTAAAAATAGATCACCAAAAGCAATTTAGCTAAATTTAAAAAAAAAATGACATTGTTAGTCATTTTACTACAACGCTTCCCGCGCTTTTTCTTTGCAATAATGGATCTTAACCGTGAACATTTGCGTGCTATGATCTTCTATGATTTTAAATGTGGTTTAACTGAACAATTGAGTTTGGAACGTTTGCAGTCAGCATTAGAGGACACTGCTCCTTCTCGTGCAACAGTTTTTAGGTGGTTTAAGGAATTTAAAAGAGGCAAAACTAACCTTGAAGATGACCTAAGAGGCGGACGCCCGGAATCAGCAGTTACTGCAGAAAATGTGTGGACATCTGAAATGTTGGTGCGAGAAGACCCACGAATCACGTACACGACAGTAAGAAGATCCTAGGCATTAGTTCGGGAAGCGTCAATACTATCCTGCATCAACGTCTTGGAGTGAGGAAGCTTTGTTGTCGATGGATCCCATGATTGCTCCCCGGTACTGAAAAACAGGCTGGAGTGGATTGGTGCCGAGAAATACTTATACGTTTCGAAAACGGGACATCGAGACGTGTTTCAGAAATCGTTACTGGTGATGAAACATGGATCTATCAATATGATCCAGAAAGCAAGAAGCAGTCGTCGGTGTGGGCCTTCGCAGAGGGACAATTGCCAACAAAGTTGCAAAGACCTCGAAACGTCGGCAAAAAAAATGGTAGCTAGTTTTTTTTCTCTGAGCGGACATTTGTCGACGTCAATGTTAGAAAATAGTAGGTCTGTTAATTCAGAATGGTACACAACAGTAGCATTGCCAAAAGTTTTCCAAGCTGTGCGGGAGAGGAGACCAAAGACCGGGCTTCGGGGAATCATGCTACATCACGATAACGCCTCTTCACATACGTCCCTCAGAACAAAGGCGTTTATTGAGGAATCTGGTATAGAAACCTTAAATCACCCGCCGTACAGCCCTGACTTGGCTCCCTGCGATTTCTTTTTGTTCCCAACAGTGAAGGATAAAATGAAAGGAAAATTTTTTTTGAGTGTCGAAGAAGCAGTGGCTGCCAACGAAATGACAATTTCAATGCTGACGGATCAAGACTGGCAAAAGTGTTTTCAGAGTTGGTTTAGACGAATGAAACTTTGTGTAGATAATCATGGAGAGTATTTTGAAAAAATGTAAAATAAATTATATTAATATGTTTGATATTTTTTCTTTATCTCAAAACTTATTGAGTGACCTACGTATAGACAATCAAATCAACCCTTTCTCTTAAACTAAACAGTGTTACAATTTTACAATTATAGTTGTTACTATTATCTTTACAATTATTATTCTAATTACTATTATCGTTACAACATTATTATATTTACTATATTCATCTATCAATATTAATTATTAATAATCATAAATAACGAAACCTAGTCGTCACCTATATTATTTACAAAGCAACGCTATCTAGTGGCAGGGTGATGTATTTAATTACACTGTTTTAACGGCCTGCCATAGTTGTAGGGACGGTGTCGGTAGATGGGGCCGCTAACACTTTACTAATGACCAAATTGTAAGTACTTTCCGTGGGTGCTGTCATTTATCGAAACTCCCTTAAATATTGATTATTTATTTATTTGTTGAGCATTGGCTATAGAGCCATCAGCTTAAACAAGCAACAAAGGATTAAGGAACTTAAAATGTAATAATATTTAAAATTAAAAATTAATTTGTGAAATAACCCTTAAAGATTAATACGCAGGTCAATGTTGATACAATACAAAAACTATTTAGAATTGATATCAAATATTGAATATTGCGAAAGAGACTGTTTACATATTTATTTATGGTCGTCGATGTTCCAAGTGTACGACAACGATTAGTTATTCATTAGTTTATTTATCGAAACTTTGTGGACATATTTACGAAATTATTGACGTTACTATATCTATTGAGATCTTGAGATTTTGTTTGACTATTATCTATGCATATTTTAGTCCTCGACTGTATTAGCTAAAATTACTAAAATACTTACTTAAATTACTAAACTTCTTTCTTGATATAAGTTATCACCAGATGCAGTGATGGCGGTGTGTCACGATTGGCTATTACTGCAATACGTGACGTATTATATAAGGCGGAGAATTTTAGATTGCATTTCCAGGCCACAAATATGCAGAATTGATATCTTATTAGTCTCAAACGGTGATACGATAAATAGAAAACGTCAAATTCGTCAAACTCTATTACCCTATTGATATAAGGATTTATAGTACTTGACGCCAAAAATATTGATTTAAAAGCAAACACTCTATAATTATTTCTCGCGGCAGGTAGCAGATATTAGACGCAGAAATGTTAAGAACATAAGTCTCCTACTCTACCTGAACCATATATTAAAAAACATTGATGAGAAAATAATCATTAGAGCAATTCGTAACAGTAGAGCTCCTTGTAAAAGAGTTCATCCAGTGTAGTACTGCTATCTTACCTATTTCTGTCGCCAAGCAATAATATCAGCATTACTATGTTCCGGTTATAAAGGGTAAGGGTGCTAGAGACATTATATAGGCACATGGGACTTGTCAACTTACGTCTCAGGGAGACTTGCCGCAGTGGCTGTGTTGCCCCTCAGATCTTTGCGATTTAAAGTTCTGAGTGGCACTCCAACTGTTATGGATAGGCGTGTAGCTTACCATCAGGTGCACGACTCGTTCGTCCCATCACTAATTATTATAAAAAAATCAGTTTTAAAGTTGTTTTTTATTGTTTTCATGATACTGAATTAATATTTTTTGTACATTTAATTATTTATGGTTACATGTTTCTTCAAACGATTGGCGATATTTCAGGTAGATAAATAATCACTATAGTGATACTATTGTTATATCTGTTAATAGGTATTGATATTATATTTTTAGTATTTCTATTTCTCTGTTATTGCGTCAACTTTTCTAACTTCTCCTCGTCTATCACCAAAGGAGGTGGGTTGATTTGATTCTGGAGCAAAATAATATCATCTCTATTTAAGTCAATGCACACAGTACCCACTACGTCCTCAATACCGATCGTGCCGTCGTTACTAACATCCACTTCTTTGACAAAGGTGTCCAACATTTTCGCATTCATCTTATACCCGTGTTCACCTAATACTTCCTTGAAGAACTCACGATCTATTATAGAATCCTTGTCCTTATCTAGTACTTGTAATGCGAGACGTATCTCTTCTTCAATGGGCATATCTCTCTGTCGTATAGTAACCATATGAAGAAAATGAGGATACTCTACATGATGTTCAGGATGCGGTGGTCTAGTACAAAATTCCATCAATTCGATCATCTGTTCCGGGGTATGAGTCTGGAGATTAAGACATTTTAACATGTACACCATTTCAACCTCGGTGACGTAATCTTTGAGTTCAGCATAAGCAGGAGTATAATCTTGATAGATATCCCATACCTCTTTTACCTCTTGTAATTGATCAGGCTGTAATTCAAACGGAGCTTTTAAAGCTTCTTTTGAGTCAGTTAAAGCATACGGTGCAGCAGGATCAATGACTTCTTCTTCAAATCCTCCTTCTTCTTCACCTAGCATTTCTTCTTCTTCAATTTCTTTCTTTTTTTGTGGTTCTTTTTCTTCTCCTTGAACTTCTTCGTGTTCTCCCATCATCTCTTCGCCTCCTTCAATGCCGTATTCAGTTTCAGTGCGTGTAGTGGCAGAAGTGCCTTCGACAGATTCTTCTTCATTTTCATCAAATTCTCCGTAGTTACCATAAAAATCAAAATCGTGTCCTTCAGAAATTCCTGTCGCAGAAAGAGAAATACCTTCATCTTCTTCCTCACTTTCGTCAATGGTTATCTCAACGGTATCTTGTTGCACTTCTTCCACAGCTTCAATAGGAGTTTCCCCTGGTGTTGCTTCTGCCATTATTGCTGTAACTATGGATATTCCTCACTAAGATTTAGACCGTAAAAGTAACTTAAAAAATTACACCAAAAATTTATCACCACTTCGAGGTATCTTGAATCTAGCCCTGAGAGTCACTATAAGATTTTCGGTTATTTTCTCGTATAAATTAAAACTTTCAAAGGATATGACATCTAAAATATTAATAAATTCGTTAAATATCTCTCCTTTCACATTATCTATAAAATCAAACATTGATATAAAACAATACAGTTATATGAAAATTGTATAAAATAAGCACCTCAAAACTTCAAACAAAGGAAAAAATAAAAATAAAATAAAACATTTCTTACTTGCGTTATTAGACAGACAAGTATGTCAAAATCTATACAATTACATGATTGAAACAAGTGTCCAGTGATAACAAAACTTAAATCTACAAAAAGTTCGAACACGTATGTAAATACATGTAACCAGCCCCATTAACTTTTTGAAATGTGAGGTGCAAATCGTAGCTGCTGCGTAGGTAGGTAGGTATTCATGAACGACGTGATTATATGTAGGAAATGTGCCAATTACCCTTACGTTAAGAAAACTTTCTTAACATTATACATAAGTAGGTATGGGTATTAGCAATTACTTACTACGAGGTCGAGACAGAGCTTTTCGAAACCATAGGTTTTAAAGTAGTTAAAGATATCACAACAAACTAGTTTTGACAGCTATGAAAGACGATAGAATGTAACTTGAATGAAATCAACGAAACAAATAAATTATGATTGGTAACGCCACACATGAATTATTTTTATTTTTAAATTTCCCATATAACTTTTATCGGCTATGTTTAACTTTCATATTCAAACCAATATCCGGTGATACTTTAATTTCATTAGTAAGGCACAGCATCGAGTCTTTCTCTCTCCCTTTTTTCACTGTGCCAAAATGCCTTTGAGTGAAGGGAATAGAAGATAAGAAATCGCTACTAGAGTGCGCTGGCTTCATATTTGCTGGCTCGCGGTACGGCAAGACAACCTCGCCGCGACCACTTCGAGAAAAAGGAAAAAGAAATAAAAGAAGATCGAGACGCTACGCTGCTCTTGCGGATGACGGATATTTTTTTCATTGAAAAACCGCATTATTGTAAGTGATTTGTTTGCGTGTGAATATTCCCCTGGCGACGTACACCTCCAGCGTATACGTCTCTAACGAGCACACGATAACGAGTACGGCACAGTTTTTCTTCATAATATTTCTTTCTATTTTTTATTCTTTATTTTCTCGATGCTATAGCCGTAAATTCGACTTTCCTTACCTTCTCCTAGAACCACGCCTTACAGTCCACACCACCATCAAATTTAATAGGTTGCAAAAGCTCCCAGGCGCTCCAATGATCTTAGTACGTTTAAAAAAAACATTAATTATATTGCCACACTATATTGCGTGAATTCCAAAATAAAATGCAGTTTTCAAAGACCAGTTCCAATCTATAGACTACAGACAGAAAGTATAATGTTCCAAACAAAACACTATCTTGGATTTTGTCAAAGAGTACCTACCTATCAGCATACCGTAGTACCCTGGACAGAGGCCACAGTCTATACCTGTTGGAAATGAGCTTGACAGGCAGATAATATTGAGTTATATAGAAAAAAGAAAAACAGATTAATCGCGTATCTATGAAAGGTTATTCCACAAAATGACAGAGTCGAGATATTGAGCATTAAAGATTTTTGGCAACTTTTTGTCATAAGGTAGGCTCATTTCAATAATATAGACGACAAATATATAGGTATCAAAAGATTTGTAACGAAGTAAGCATTACGATCGGTTTGTTATTTTTTAAAGTTAACAAACTTACAATTAGTAATTAACTAAAAATGGTTTATGCAAAATTCGATATATCAACGAAATTATTACTTTATGCGTCAAGGACGATAAACACATTTTTGTAAAATACGGAAAAGTATGTCTAAAGTGTCACTTAATCTTTGCAAACACTAAGAAATCACATTTTTATTGTGATCATATATTAAACGAAGGAAGAATAGTTTTATTTTTGTCACTCAATGTGTTTTGTTTTCAATAATCCATCACCCTTCTTCTTTGACCAGTAAATCTTAATAACCGAATAAACAAATACTGAGTTTTGACTCTACACTTTTATTAAACGATTGTGCACAATCGGGGGTGCACGAAAGGAGTTTCTCCCCACTACTTACCATTCCTTACTTTTACGAGTACATCCCCAATTTGATCGAGACATGTACATCGAGGGTCTACCTCTGCCCACGTCTAAATCTATTAAAATCCTTTCTTCATGACCACTTAATCTTTGAATACACGACGCTCTTTTATTACTCTGTTCGGCATTCTGTCTTAAAGACTAAGGGTGCCTTCAAATTAGACGCTTATAGAAGCTCTGCCGTGGCGCGACAGTGCCGCAAAAGCCGCTCCACTATTAATTTTCATACAATATTAATGCTAAAAAATAGAGCGTGCATGTCACGAAGTAGCGCTGCAGCTGCACTTCCAAATATTGTATGAATATTTAAATGTGGCGCTGCTGCAGCGCCTCTGTGACGCACAGTAGCGTTTCTACAAACGTCTAATTTGAAGGTGCTCTGATATTACTCAAACTGTATACTACTCAAGATTCACACCAAAAGCATTTACCCTACTTTCGTGCTTCTTCTGTTACACCCAATACTCGCTACCGTACGTCAGAGTTGGAACCCGCACTTCCTTGACACGTTCTGGCTACCAATAAAGACCATTTACCTGATTTCGACTATTACTTTCCGTTCAATATCATCTTCACACTAACCATCTCTTATAATACCCAGCCAGCTACACAAATTCTTTCACTTTTTGTACCCTCCGCTATCAACTTTGTCCCCATTTTTCCACCTTTATCCCTTTCAGTTACCATCGCCTTCGTCTTACCCAAATTCGCCTTCATTCCTTTTCTTTCAGATTGAAATAAACCAATTAGGTTTTAGTTTACGCAGAAAATATCTCGGAAGGTGCGCCATTACATTACAAGAAAAATCTTGTTTTTAGCCGTACAAATTCCCTTATTCTAATCGCCCAATCCTTTCAGAATCTATATATATATATCGTTTTCCAGTCTGTCCATGTCATTGACAAAATTTAAAGTATTTTTCAAAAAAGTTGTATAATGTGTAAAGCGTTTCAAACCACATTGAAAGATATGTGTTGTAATTCGCATTTATGGTTTAACCACATGTGCGAAATTCGCTTAGGAGACGAACCAGGTTTCGTGAAAACAATTTTTTGATTTAAGAATTACCACGATTTTTGTTAATGATATTATTGAAAAGAATATGAAACTTCATGTTACGAGGCATTTGTTGATTGCGTTCATAACTCATTTTATGATTTACTATGCAGAACACGGCCCTTATGTACTTTTATTTTACACGTAAGAGGTGAACCACGGAAAGAAATAATTGCCCGTGGTCCTTCCAGGTGAACCAGGAAGGTGGTTCACGCGCAAGAAACGTCATGTACACAGACATATCTAGATAGACGCCGCAAGTACAGCAATTTGTATGAAAACCAAGCGTGCCATATTTTTTGTACCCACTATGAGGACACAAGAACTATTTAGTGAAGGAAGTGAATACGCATAAACAAGAGTATTCCATTCCATAAATAATAAATATAATAATTTTTGTTTAAGTATTTGGTGATTACAAGTAGTTGTAATATTAAAATAGTAGAAAAATACTAGAATAAGATTGTTAAGTCCTTTATTTTACTTGTTTTTGTTTGGTTGGTTGATTACTCAAAAAAAAAAGAGTTTAATTTTTAATCGACTTCAAATATTAAAATTATTGTCCTTCCAATAAAATGAGCTTATTATAAAATATCTTTTTGTAATAGAAGATCTTACCGATTAACTTAAACAATGAAAACTCACGTCAATATATGAACTTGCGACTGCCTTAATTAATTTTACTAGATGATTTCCTGTTGGTAATTGATCAAATTGATGAATGGCAAGACAAATGAAAATGTTACTGCTGACAAAATATGGTAAAATCTTATTAATCAGAAGAGGTTTCCTTAATGACGGCCCCGTGTAAAATTTTTGTGATTTGTTTATTATTTCTCGGATTTCTAACTCTGCTACTCTGTATATTTGGATAGTATCTTAGGTGGGGTAAACTAGACCACCTTCGTCCTCGAAAGCAAAGAACTCATACGTATGAACAACTCCAGGTTATTGTAAAAACAGCACACTATTCATTCTTTGAATTATATATTTTTTTGTATTACTCGTACTACATATCCGGCGATGTATGTAATTATTTGCTTACTATATTCGGACATTCAAAGCAACGTGCTGCAAAAATTATCGAAATTGCTGATACTGCTGATAATAGATACTTCAAAATTGAAAAAAATACGAAACGTTATAACAAAAGAGTTAATAGAATATTTTTATAACATTGCTAAGGTCATAATAATTTTTGTCCCTTTGTTTTCAAAATCGATCAGAATTGAGAACAGTGTTGCCTAACGTATACATCACTAAATGTTAAATTTGGCCAAAGAAATGTACAAGCGGCCGTACCACGAAACTGAATGCATTACACAAAAGTGCGTTCGTTCGATATTCATGGCGTATCAACAAAGGATCACAAATGTATCGCACGAAGTAAAAGCCGCAATGTATTATGTATCAAATCATGAGGCATACACTCGGTTGCATATTTGTTTTTTCGAAATTCATACAAAACCAACATAATCGTTTTTAAAATAAATTATGCATCTTCTGATTATAAAATCACTTGCCCGTCCCTGTTTACCCGTTTACCCACACTTATGGTGCTTTTGCAGTTTATAATGGCACAATTATGCATTTCTCGCGTTTTCGGCTAGTGTTTATTTACGATAACGGTCAAGCGCGTTCTGAAGTGTAGCAGCAGCAACTTAAGTGATTTTCACTTACTTTGAGCACGCGAAGTACGTACACTTGCGGCGTCTATTTAGATATATATCTGTGGTTATGTACCTGTACCTACTTGCGGAAAGGCAAGATCTTTAGACCACGCAGCCTAGTCATTTTTATATATTTTTTTAATTTATATGGTAACCATAGTAACTGTTTTATTCATATTATACTTGTTTTTTATAATATCTGATGAAAGGACGAACAAGTCATGCGCCTGATGATAAGCTACACACCTGTCCAAGTGTTGCAGTGCCACTCAGAGCTTTAAATCGCAAAGATCTTAGGGGAACTGCCACTGCACCCGTCACCCTGAGACATAAGTTAACAAGTCCCATGTGCCTATAATTTCACCAGCATCCTTACTTCAAAACCGAAACACAGTAATGCTGACACTACTGCTTGGCGGCAGAAATAGGTAAAATGGCAATACCTGCTACCCCGGACGAACTCCTCCACAAGGAGGACTACTGCTACTAAAATACATAGGTACTAATACATACATAGGTACTCTGTTATTGTGTAGTCAGAACACTCTGTTGCTTATTAATCTATCATATTATTATGTTTTGTCTTATTTTAACACGCGTCATTATATGCTTGTGGAAACGTGATGGATAGTGTGAAATTTTGCTTAGTATTTCACGATTATTAAATATTGACTATATAATTAATCAATCAAAAACTACAACATTCCTTACCAAATCAATGTCAATAATTTAAAACTTTACATTTATGTTCATACAATTAGTCAAATAGCGAAATGCGAGCAGCACACCGATGTAAATTAATTTTCAAAGCGGAATGCGTCTGCGCCCACCATCAGTAAAAGACAGTGTGTGTATGGTATGCCGCATCTAGTTCGCTGGTATACTATAAATATCGTTGGTACTTTTGAATTAGAAACGTCTGATAAACAGTAACAGCCTCCTTCTTATTTTCTAGCGTGTGATTTGCAGTGGAGGCCATGACCCCGGGCGTCATGGCAATGGGGGCGGCGGCAAGCGCGACCTAGCAAATATTTTTTTTACTTAAAAATAGAAAATTCGCTGTTTGAGAAAACTGTACCTATATACTAAACAGTGTTCAAAATTCAGCGTCTATTATTAACAAATGAACCAAGTGATTTAAGTGAAAGTGCCGCCGCTTATAAGAGTATTTAAAAAATCGAAAGTTCTTTTTGTCATTGTACACGTACACTAAAAACACAATAGAAAATATTTAATAATGATCCCGAAAACGAAATGCCAAGACCTGGCTCAAACAACATGTATCCAAGCTAAAAATCAAGAAAAGGTATCAAATGGCCCTTTTTTACATATAAGGTCGTATTTCAGAACTCTACACAATGCTCAAGTCAGGACTTGAGTATGATTTCTAGTGCTTGAAACCATTCTCAAGTCCTGACTTGAGCATTATGTAGAGTTTTGGAATACGACCTTAGTAAAGTATGAGTATTACCAATTACACGATAGTCGAGACAAAACATGTTGAAGCTATAGGTTTTTTGGTTCATCAATTTTCCCTAATACAAGCGTACTTACCCAACACAAAGACAGAATCATACCAAAAATCAAACCAATATGCATATATCTATATACTTATCAAGCTTTCTATATACTAGGAATACGTGAAGCTAAGGTCTTATTATATAGATGGACTGAATCTGGAGTAACATTTTGTTTACATACTCTCATTATAGTATACGGATACGTTTTCCGTTTTAAATGATTATATTGGAGTCATAGAATATTAAGTTTATAAATATGTTACATTTACAATAGCTAAAGGAATTATCCTGGTGCGTGGTAACCCTAACCGTAGTAGCATCACGTGTTTTTTTCGAGAGAAAGACCCGATGATGGTGAGCGGTTCGCGGCGGCCGATGCGACCACGGCCAGAACGCACACTAGGACTCGCACGTTGTAGACGCGCATGCGTACCGGCTGTACCCTCCCATGCGTTGTTTTGACGGGAACTAAACGGTTAATTTCGAAATTTTAAATTAAAGTTAAAACTTTCTTCAAATATTTAAAGTCAATAATAATAAAAAAAGTGTGGTCAGTGATAGACAGGATTTAAAGATTTGGCGAAATTTGGTTTTACGAAATCTGTTATTTGAAATAATGGTAAGTTGTAAGTTTTTAATTCTGCCATAGTAGCTAACCTACTTCTTTACCTGAAAAAATATACCTAATAAAAATCTGAGAACAACAATATTCAACGTTTTTACACTACCAAGTGTTTAACTGTACATTTAAATATAACTAAACAAAATACAAACGTAATCTGACTAAGGTTAGGCTAGGTACTTGATATAGGATTCCACGTCGATAGTAAAAAATTTAGGGGTGCAAATGGATTCCGACCTAAGGTTTGAGAAGCATATTCAGGAAATAACAATGACCTGCTTCTATCGCTTGAAAGTGCTTTACTTGGTACGCCGGTTTCTAAGCATTGAACTCCGCATTAATCTAGTAGAGTCTCTGGTACTTTCCAAATTCAATTATGCAGACACCGTATATGGTCCACGACTTCTAGCCAAAACCAAAAACCTAGTGCAACGCGTACAGAATGCCTGCATAAGATTTTGTTTCGATGTTCCTCCAAGAGGTCATGTTACACCATTCATGAATAGTGCTAAATTGCTAAACATGTCATCTAGGCGATTGGTTCATTTTGCATCTCTACTCTTTAATGTTGTTAAAACATGTAGGCCTCTTTATCTATACAATAAACTCACCTGGTCCTCTAGAACACAAAAATTTGCTCGCCTTGCTCGTAATGTTGCTCTCATAGTCCATCCTCATAAAACATCTGCCTATAAGGGTAGTTTCAAATACATGGCCGCCAAAATATGGAATAATATTCCCCCTCCCTTGCGAATCCTCTCCTCCACTCAGTCTTTTAAAGTTAAGGTAAAACAATACTATCTAGGGCTCCAACTAAGCGGCTAGGTAAAAATAAATTTATTTCCACCCAACTGAATCTAACTCCATACTCGTACAATGTAAACAAATGTAAATGAAGCAAGGATAATATTTAAATGTAACTTTCTGCATACTTTTCTATATGTTATAGCATAATAACGAAATATATATCAAATTTAAAACTGGTCACTCTTTCACTGTTAAATATTGATTTGGCAGTGGAGGAGTGATTTGGTTGTGGATTAGTAAATTAGTAGGCAATTAAATTTATAAAAAAGGTGTAGCTGCAGTGTTTCATATAGTTCAATAATTAACTATGTAGCAATATCTTATGGTTAATAATTTTTAAATGTTCTTAGTATAAACGGTAAATTTTTGTTTGCTTTTTTTAAGTAATATCGTGCCATCTCATCCTTCAAAATGGTTCCAACTGAAAACCAGCGTTACGGCAATTGAGCTGTGACATATGCTGAGTTTGGTTCCATTTCAGCTCGTAACTGTAACTCTTTGTATACTTGCAATGTGTGATGCTGGCTGAATAAACGATTCTTTCTTTCTTTCTTTCTTTCAAACATTTTACATCAATCAATATATGGTTTTAATCAAACCTATATTTTTTTTAAAAATTCAATGGCCATCAAGTCCAACAAGAATCAAGCTTTTTTTAGTAAATAATGTTCGTCTATATCTTGCGGTTATGCTGTCGTAACGCCAGGGATCGACCGCTGAATTTTCATCAATATGTGGAATCCACAATAGTTTATTACCTACTGCATTTATTGCTCATGTTACGAACTGCGAACAATTTCGCAAATGCAATGTCACGCTGTACCCACATATACAACGACAAATAGATCTGTACTACTTTGCACTTTCATTTGCAGATATACAGGGTGTAAGAAAAATGTAGTAGCACAAAAAATTGTTGTCTTTATTTTATTATTACTATTCCCACCTAATGGTGAGCTTTTCTTGTACTTATACTTTCCCTCCACTTTGCTCTGTTGTTGGTGTCGTTTTCGAAAACTTGGCAGCTCCTTTAATCTTTGGCGATATGATCTGTCCACCTGATCTTCGGTCTTCCTCGTTTTCTGGACCCAGAGTTCTTCAGTAGTCAATATTATATATTAAATAATATATATTTTATTTCCCCAATATAATGTACAGACGGCAGAACATCAAGCTAGAAATTGACGGATCTTGTTCCGTTGCACTGGTGGCGATATTCGAACAAAAGCGTATAACATAATTTGTTACCTGCGCTCTGAATAAATAAACGCCTTATTACATGGCCACATAGTAGGGTCATGAGTTTGTTTCAAAAATATAAATGGATCACGAAAAATTGCCATCATCTAATGAAATTCACTTATACATCATCAAAAGATTTTGATAAAAGCCCTCTGCAGTTTTGATTTCCACCATTAACCAAAACATATGAAAAAGGGGCCTAGTTGAATATTATGATACAGTGGAAAACTTGCTACTACTTACTACTTACTAGACTTTGTATTTCTCAAGATATATGCGTGAAGAATAAATAAATTGGTATACATCTTATACAAAATTTTAATTCCTAGAATATTTAATCCTAAATGTGTAATTGTGTTACCCACCTGTTACTTTATATGAAGCTATAGATTGGTACACATATCAGAAAGATCTAAAACCAAGAAACCTTTGACGATCGATCGAGCAAAAAAAGAGATTGTCTGTAACGTTGATTACTTTCGTTCGGCTTTTACTGAGGTACCAGAGAGCGATTGGTATTTCTTATTTAGCACTACACAATCGTTATGCAATGGCATAGATAAGACTCTAGGTACGGACACCAAGAAGATCGCAACTCATATTACCCGTTTCTGATTTGACGTCCTTAAAAGTTCATAATAAACTTTCAAAAATTGTCTATGTACATAATATACTACACGAAATAATAAAGGTTCCGAAAAACAAATGAATTTGCACGAAACTGAACTGTATCGATTACTATACTAAACTTAAGAAAGTAATGCTAACTTACTGATGTATGTCTTCGTTGTCACTTGTAATAGTATGCTAATAGTATTTCCGTATAATCAGAACAGTTTAAGAATTACCAATGTTTCTGAAGTGTATGCGGTCATTTTGAAACTTATAAATGGGGATATAAATTAAAATTACTATTTTCGGTGAGATATAGTTGGTAGAGTAGTATTAAGGCAGGAAGATGCTTCGGAACTTTGAGTATTTCATTCGGTTATATTCGGTATATATTTTCGGTAGCTTAGTAAATATTCAATAACTATAACAATGACAACAGTAATATTCATAATTTGAATAAGCTCATTTTTAATAAGTGGTGACCAAAATTTTTTTTAGAAATCCAATTTCAATATCATCATCATATATATATGTATATCTCACATACAAAAGACAGTTTTAGTTTAGCTATGCGAAGATCAAATTGATAATGTGTTTTTCAATAAATGTACACTTTCGATATAACTAATAATTACGTTAAAACATAATCTGGATACCTATGTCTCGACTGGACGAATTTCAGAAAATAATATGACGGTCACTAGTGAACGTCATATTATTATTATAATATATATTATATTACATATATTAAAATAAAATATATTAAATTTATAGTTTCTCTAGACGATCTTCTAACATAACCAAACAAAAAATTGGTAAGCAATGAATCGTCACGCAATACGAAAAAGCCACGGTATGGCGAGGTCGCAGGATCGCGTCCAGCCGGGTCGAAGGAATCTTTGTGTTAGATCTTTGCATTAATAATAATAACAAACTAATGTAGTTATTTCACAGAAAACATCGTGACATTTAATAAACTTTTTTTCAATCTTTTATTCTTATTTAGGGGCTTTGATCGTTATTGAACATGTCAGCTCGATTAGAAAAGCAGTACATCAAGGAAATACTTAATAAAATCCAGACAGATAAAACAAAATACTATCTACCTAAACATGTATACAAAATCTCCATGTTAGCTCCGACAAAACAGATTGAAACCATCCAACATTAAATGTACGGAACCGCGCCCTTATAGGCTCCGTGCGAACACACTCCAAGAGCAAATGATGTACATCCTCAGGAATCCCACACACTTGCAACTCCGTGAGTTCGCCCTCCGCATCAAATACAAAAATTTGTTTAATGGAACGTGTCCGGATCGAAGCCTACGCGCGCTGGCAATTTGATCCCTGCTTAACTTAACATGGTCAAACCAAAGGATACGAGGAGACTCACTCTGCATTGTCTTGTACCAGATTCCTTTTTCCTGGGACCTCATATCGAAATATTCCTTCCAACGAGAATGGAACTTGCTCTTATAGTTTGCAATCACTTCAGAGAAGTCAGGCCCAGTGTTAAGCAGTGTGCCCAGGTTAACCTCAGGCCCATCTGAAACAGCCGAAGTGGTTAACCGGTCCGCTCAAGCTTCCCTAAACTAAATAAACTACATATTACAAGTAATGAAAGTCAACTCCTTAGTTCACATTTCAAAGCATAAATTTTACTGACGAAACACACCAACACCACACCACTTTAGGGACTGCGGTGATGACATCGTGAGAACACACTAATCACTACATCAGAATACAATTGTAAGTTATTAATTATGAATCACGCTGGTTATGCGTATGTGGTAACAGTGAATGCGTCAATGCGTGGAAAATGAAACGTATAAGACAAAATATGTCGTCGTTCATTGTTAAAGCCATCTCCAATAAGCACAAGAACACAGTACATACACAGTTGAAATTTCTGCCAGTTTGGCAGGTTTTTATTCTGTTAAGCTACACTAGTATTCGAGGAGGCCAAAGGGAATCGAAACAAATTTACGATTTTTCTTTCTACAGAACATTCTATAAACGCAAATCTTGCGAGATTATATCGAGTAGCAGTAGTACCTAGCAGCAGTATCAAGTATCGATTTAGAAGCAGTAGAGCTCCTTGTGAAAGAGTTCGTCCAGTGCAGTATTGCCACCTTACCTATTTCTGCCGCCAAGCAGTAATGTCAGCGTGACAGTGTTCCGGTTTTGAAGGGTTAAGGGTGCTGGTGAAATTACAGGCACATGTGACTTGTCAATTTATGTCTCGGGGTATCGGGCGCAGTGGAAGTGCCCCTCTGATCTTTGCGATTTGAAGCTCTGAGTGGCACTGCAACTGTTAAGGACAGGCGTGTAGTT